GAACATGAGCAATAGCTAAGCAACGTACAATATGAATAGCAAAATTACATCTAACGGCACTAGAAAACGTCTTGTTTTTACAACAGGTAACGTTTACAACAGAATCATTTAATTCTCTCCCTACAGCACTCTGGTTTTATCTAGAAGTAACAAAAATAGTTATATTTATTTTCTACAAAAGCAAAAGTTATAGTGTCAAAACCATTTGAAAAATTCACCTTCAAACTCTCAGTTAACTAAAGTTATAGTTACACAGTTATATTAAATCTAAATTCCGCTTTTTGATTTACTATTTTATCAGGAGTCGCCAATTCCACAAAGTCCACATTCCATGCCAGAAACTGATCTATTCACTGAAATAGGTGGTGTGCCAAGCACTAGCTTCATTGATTGGGATGAGATCGATGAACTGATTGGAGAATTATGACACTGAATACATGTTTTGAATTTTGTTAATATAACATGTATCTTTATTATTTGTCCTTCTGTAAAAAAATAGTGCTCACAAATATTTTGTTATACTACATTTAAAAATCCACACACAGTATAAAAACGACACTTGCTTTTGTAGTAGTTAAGAATATGAGGATTTTGTGAGCGATTTTCGATCGTATTAATTGTAAAAGTTTCCAAATGTTATGTACATATTTTATGAATATAAAGTAAGATTATTTTCTAGATAGAAATAATAAAACTTGAAGAAATCAGTTGAAATTGTGGATCGACCAATTTCAGACCACCACTAGGAACCTAAGATTACTAAACGGTCGTTTTATTTAAGTAAAAGACTACTCATTAGTGTACATGCACGACTCATAAAAGCACTTGAGACCAAGTCGGTCAGAATCAAATCCACGACCCTCGCACACATGAATCAAGCCCAGGATTTAAGATCTCGCTCACAAACGCTTAACCACTTCGCCGGCATCCAGCAGTGTTAATGTATAACCTCAATCAACCCACGATATTGAGTGACCTAATCAATTTTCTTTGGAAGGTGAATGACTGCCCGACACCCTAAACGGTTTAACTTTGATGGTTAGCGCTTGAGATATTCATGTTTCCAACGCTACTTCAATATGTAAGAATTTGTTTAGATTGTACACCTAAAGCCAAAGTGAGACTTTAGTTGCCTTTAGGACGTTTGAGATCTTTAGAACGAGTATTAACTTAGTTTTTTGGTTTCGAATGTGAAAAAATAGTTGGTAAACGTATAAGTATTACAATCGTTAGGTACTAAATAAACTAATAATTTTTTATTCTTGTATTCTAAATACAATTAAATAGAGAAAACCATCAGGTCTCAGGATTATTTAACATACTCGGACGGTCCCTCGTTACATAACTGAATAAATAACGAGTTTAAAATTACTTAGAAACTGTCTGATCTGAAAAGTACTTTAACGATAAAGACTCCTACCATCCATACGGAAACGATCCTTTAAGCTTTGTACAATATTGATTGAAGATACTTCTATTTGAGACCCTTACCCTTCTCGGTATAGCGGACTGCTTAAAGACACTCGACATAACTCCACACGTAAACAAGTTGAGCTAGAACAATAGACATGTGGACATTGTTCATTTACAGCAATGAAAATAGTTCATAAACTAACCAATAGTATTTTTGCAGCTAGGTTAACGGGCCAAAAGATGTAAATGAACATCAGTAACACTCTACAAGTAGTTTGTACTCTTTCGTATCAAATACAGAAACTTGGGTTTTCTGTCACGACAGTAGGGTTTTCCATACAGTGTCAGCTTAAGGCTATGAAAGTGAAATAGAAGTGTATAAGTTCTGGACTTCAGAACGTTATTAGATTTTGACAATAAAAACTTGATCGACTTTTGCATCAAATATTTAGAATAATTGCAATAAGTTGCCTGAACAGCAGTGAGAAGGCAGTTATGAACGAAACTTATTAGTGTCCTTAGCATCTATCGCTTTCACAGATTTGTTATTTTTCTCAATAACTGTTGACAAAAAAAGCTTCCCGTACACGAAAAGACCGTCAGCTACTAGAATAAGAAATTCTCATCTAAATAAACATTTGGAGTAAAATTTCGAATTACTGCTCTCACAAAAGACTTTACAATCTTTTAAAATAAAAGTTTTTGGAAAAAGCTTGTGTATTTTTGTTTATTCAACTGTCATATTTGCCCGTTGGTTTTTCAGTTAATCAACTTCTTGGAATTCAGAGGATCCAATTAACTTCGAAATATCAGCTTCCAGCTTTTCCAGGTCGTTATTCATCTCAGCAAGTAAATATCATTTAAGGAAGATAGTCACAGTTGTTTCAGGGAAAGTTTCAAAGCAAACATCAATCAGCTAGTTCATTTCTCTAAGAAATGTACTGTTTAGTGTATACTAAAATGGTCTCAACATAAAGCCTGCTTTCTAATCAAAAATTATTAAATGCAATAATATTTAAAAGAATCGGTCCTAAATTTATTCCGAAATCAGAAACGAAAACCGTTTAGTAATAAAGCTTAACTGTTTTATGAGGGACTTCTCATACCTCATACTCTATCCATTCTAGTATGACTGTCAACATAAGGTGAGAAAAGAGCCTTACCGGTTTGTTTTCTCTTTATTCAGAGCACAGTTTGTTCAAATATTGCATTTATTTTTACTGTCAGCTTTATTATATCTTAGCGTAAGTTTATTAGGAACGTTGATCAGTTAAACATTTTGTTTTAATAAACGTGCTGTCAAGATACTCACAAACGTTAATCATTTTCCAATTCATGTTATTCAGTGTGTCTACTGATAGCAGGCATCAATCTTCCTTAACTAAAAGACAAGCTAATTTAAATTTGACACAGCTAAGTGGATAGTTCATAAAAGATATTTAAGGCCTAGGCGTGACTGGAGGATCTTTTCAGACACTGAAAATACTTAAGCACAAAAGTAAAGAGAAGGTTCTGTCATGAACAATTTAAACCTTAAAAGACAATGCGATATCTTATAATTTCACAACTTCTAGGCGTATATTTAACGTAGAAACTCAGTATAGCTGTTTTCTTCGATCGTCTTTGAATAATATCCATACTCGTGTAACAAAAGATGCAACGAAAATTAATCAAAAAAGGATATTACAGACTGTGAAATTCTCCTCCATTGTGACCAATGACTTCTCAATATCGCGAATAGAATCTTCTAACTACATACCTATTATATTTGGATACATGATATACTTGACTATTAATGGACTTCAAATCATCCCGACAGCTTTCAGCAGACTTTTTGGATGAAAGCGAAGTCTCATCCACCACTTCTTGAAGTTCCGCCATTTTTTGCAAATGAAACTGTGGTTAGGACAAACTAGTACTTCATTGATTCAAACATGATCAGTACAAACTAGTGATAAAAATGATTTTCAAAGATTATGGTTGCGTACACTTGATAGATTTCTTCGCATTAATTATTTAATAATCACATATAAAATATAAATAATCATACTAGATATATTTATATATATGAGGATGTAAAGAACGACTTTATGATTATTTATTGTTTTTGACACAATTATACTGAGAAAACAATCGGACGGCAGTAAAAAACAGCGAAAGATAAAAGGCAGGCCTGTGAAATGTTATATTTGTTGTGGATTTTTCGAAATTACTGTAGATCTCAGTGTGTCGTTTAGGTCGATTTTGAGGTACCAATGAAGTTTTTTTTAGAGATTAGATTCCTTGGAAATCTCTCTAAGTATTTTTATGAAACAAACCGCCTACAGATACATGTTGTGTGCTAGAAATACGTTGTAAATCTTAATTTCTTGAGATTCTCGAGGAAGATGCCTGTCTAAATACAAACCAAGAGAATTAGTATTATGTTTGAAGTGGTTAAATAATGTCAATTTTCAGCATTATACAGTTTTAAATGCACCTTACAACACAATATATGTCTAGGAGTTAGTGATAAATATATCACTTTCATCAAGTGCTAGACAACCGTTTCGCGAAGACTGTCGCCAGTTGCATAATTTCTTTTGACGATTTTTGTTTCACTTCTTTGATTACTGGAGCGTATGCATCCACGGCAACACCAGTGAGTGCTCTGGTTTCGAGTTTATTCCGTGAAACTGTGTAAAATGCATATTTTCCATAGTTACATAGTTAGAGGTGTGTAATTTCTTTTGAGCTGCCGGGATCGTGCACAGTTTTTTGACTCTGGTAGATTTCGTGTAATCCAAAATGACCTTTACTTAATCGTAATAATAATTTATTCTCAAATAACTCTGTAACACAATAGGCTCTATGAGTATGCTTCGTGACGGTGTGGGATTCGGTACCGATTTGTCGTCAATGAGTGCATAAAAAAATGCTCTTTATTTTATAGTCTTTGGAAATCGTGACCCAGATTATGGTGATTGGATTATTAGTCTAAACTTGGAATCAGACTATCACCAAAATAATCATGCATAAACATAACACGTTTACCTGCGTCTTGAGTTAATGTTTCGTTATTTGAAGCAGAACCACCTTGAAACCAGTTTATCAATAGCACTATTTGAGACTATAATGAGTAGAGCTTTTACCTGTTGAGGAAGTTTCGGCTTTAATATATTTTTCTCATAAAACAAATAAACGAATGTCCAAGTTCTGAATCATCCAAACCATAGTAATTTTTTCTGTCTCGATTGCTGCTATTCAATGCTAACCATTAAGTTTGTGCTCACGTTTTAGGGCGACTTGGTAGGATAACAGAAACAGTGAAGTTACAGGATGTAAAAAAAGTGGAAGAAAATCCTCAACATCGGTGTCATCTTGCCTTATAACCTGTTGCGCAAAGTAGATTAAAAATGTTGTATGATAAGGCTCTTTCCAAACTTCCGTTTACAGTCGTTCAATCTCATGCTCAACGAAATTTCTGCTTCAGACCATGTTGCGATTATATATTTTGGATTATTTGTCTAATTTTTGTTCATCAGGTAGATCTCCCTATCCATTTACATTGTTATCAGTTTCGGAAGCATCACTAGTAGACATAACAAATACTTACTGAACTCGAGTGGTAGCACCGCCCTCTATGCAGAAATCTGCGAACACGAATCATTCAAGATGTGTATCTGGAAGTCAGTTTCTGTATAATAAACCTAGTCTCTCATATTATCAGCCATGAATAGCATAGTTTAATATACACATACGCCAGATATCTGGTTTTGTAATTTAATAAGAATTGTGCATCTAAAATTGCAATAAAATTTGAGATAATAGAAATGTCACGACATCTAGTCATAAATATAACGTCTATACTATGAACAGCCTCACACAACTATTTCACGTACATAGAGTGCTCTATTTAAGATCTCACGGTTATTCGTAGGTTTGTAACGCTTTGTCTATAGCAACATTAGAGTTGCGTGGAATGCCTGGATCAGTGCAACTAGTGTTACTTTGGTGAGAATTTTCGACCAGGATGTCGCTAATATAACTGATTAAGTTAAAGTCAATGACAAATGCTTTCGGAACCAATCGTTTTCGAAATTTATTTACTGCTGAATAACTTTGTTCGAAAGAATAGAGTGATTACTTATTAAATGTTGTTTTGAAACCGTTTTCTTCATGGCTTAGACCGATGAAGCTTTGCTTATTATACGTCTGTAGAATTCTACGACAACCGGATTTCGTCATTCTTCATAATTTATGAAATATAGAAAATATCTTTGGAATCAAGACGTTTAAGTTAGATAGGGAGAACCGAATATAAATTTAGCTAATTTTTTTCCTTGCTCACTACTCGATTTTCTTGTTCGAGATTAAAAAAATCATGTGGTCAGGTAAGACCTCATAGCGATTCAGAACATACCCAAAGTGCTCTACAGACCAGTTTTGTAATTCATTATATATTTCGTGCGGTGTGTTTGAGTGGAAATCGCTAAGTATTTTACAAAGGGACTTAATGATCTATCTCAAGCAAACGCAGATATGTCTTATTTGCCAGATATCCAAACTTATAACATCTCTTTTGAGCCTACCTTTTCGAATTTAGCCCAATTATCACTGACCTAACACTTAGTGGGTCGAAGAACTAAATCACTCCACAATATAGTCTAAGGACGGCGACGAGTTTGAAACAGTCAGTCAACGTCCAAAATAAACTTTAAGCAACCCTGAATGATAATGGATCCTATTCTTTATTTCCTATCAGGTTACTCATCTCACTTATCTCCACTTACTTTTCTCTCTATTAGCAGTCCTATTTCTCTATTCAATGCTTTGATTGTACTTCAGTTCTATGCTTAAACACATACCTTATCAGTCATCATACCTTTCATTTCTTTCAGAACCTGATGATATAACTGGTTAAATTGCGTACGAAATTATTCCGATGTTTAAAAACCAGGCTTAGCTTTTCATTGTAGTCTTAAGTGAGGCTTTATTTTATGTAGATGAAGTGCGTGGTTTCCTGAACCATCTGACGACTTTAATACATACAAAAAGCATTCGAATGCGCCACATAGTTAACATTTTCTGTTAGTAGTTCATAAGAGACCAACTAATCAGATTCTCATTCTTATCTTACAGTACAATTAAAGCCATTATATGATCTTCGACACTACGAAGCGTCAACAGACCTTAACTTCACTTTCCAGCACTTTTTAGAGCTAATTGTTGAAAAGTTTGTGTGATAGATATCTTGTGCACAAAGCATCGCCTTGACCTTCAACTTCATCTTGAATAGTTTTCGATCGTGTTTGAACGATAAACCATGATTAGTGTTATATTATGCGCCCTAATTAAGTCTCAAAAATATTTTTTGTAATTCGATCAACTGATGATGTCGGTCAGAATGGCTCAGCTGGATGGATCCGTTCGATTTCTATCATTTTTAAGTGCTCTTGATGTTTGCATGAATTGACGTGGCTCTGAAGCACAGCTTATAGGAAGGTAAAAACATGTCATGGATATTCAGAAATTGAACATGAACACTGTTTAGATCGAGGACATGGATGGCCACATCAACTCAGATGTCAGGAAGGAGAGAAAATGGAGGTACCTTTTTAAAAATGGTTAGGATGTCCAAGAGTGAGTCAACTAAGATTGCAGGTGGATGCAAACTCATATTCCGCAAGGCGCTTCACTCAGCGATTTGGTTCGTTTGAGTAACCCAGACAATTCAGCAGGCTGTTTCCAGTAAAACTAATGAGTTTGGCTTCAATGCCGAAGACTTACAAAACTATTTATTTTGTGGAGTTATTTACTGCTGCAACTGCAGCAACAAAAACCAAGAGAATTATTGACGAAACGTATACTGGAAATCAAATAATTTTATAGCTGACCCAAAAACATTACATAGTATACCCTTGCATATTTATCATGTCCTCATTCTGAAAAGATTTCAGTGTCACTAAAGGAGAACGTCTTAAAATATTTTAAAATATTTTTATAACTAAGAATATTAATTTCAACGAGGTTTGTTCATCAGAAACCTGATATTCATTCAATTAGTTCTATTTTTTTAGCTGTGTTTAAACCACTGAAAAAGTAAATAGATTTTTCGTGTCACTTTCAAAAATGACGCTTTTGAGTGTCTTTCCTGTCAAGCGTGGATACAGAATTTTTACGTAATCTTAAATTGTTTCTGCTCAACAACACTTTGTCTGGCCAATAGTCGACGGTGAGTTTCTGTTTTCGCTGTTTTGAATAATTGATATCAATAACAGACATTATATATATTATATAGCTTGCTCAAATTTAGGTTGTTGATGAAACAATCACTTGCCATAAAAGCATTTTAAAAATTATTTTCAAGGTGGAATGATAATTTGACGTTCATTTCCTTATAATCATGATTTATTATTCTAACAGTGAATTTATATTAATTTACTTATACAGTGACAATCACATTCTTGATCCAATGATATCGTGGTTATGACTGTCCATGATCTCGTTGATACGACGATTTAGACGCTGGTCGTATTTCTCCCGCGTTTCTTAGTTTAAAGTGAATTTAAGCCATTTTTACACTATGAATTCATTTCGTTTTTTCAGTCACTTCTCACTAACAAATATTCCAGTTACTCATGGTATGAACGTTTGAAAAAAAACTTGAATTCTACCTAAATACCAAAAGGTATTTCCGTCACGGCCTTCAAAGAAGCAAAATGTATTAACTTACTATAACTTTTTTGAAGGTGTACAAAAATGTGTTTAATGATATTTTAAACTGCTTTTATGCGATGTCCGTAACACTGTTTCAAAGATATGAAGAAATGAGGGCGTTTGGTAACAACGCTCTCTGTTGTAAAGTTTGGAGAATTTGATAGAAATCTTGAGATACTTCTGAATTAGATGTCTTTTGTAGTTGTTGTCAAATAATTTATTATGAAAACGAAAATATATTGAGTAATTTGGAAACGTAGTTGCTGTATAGGGAATTCTAGTTGTATTACTTATCTTAAGTTTCTGGTCATACATTAATACCGTCTGAAATACTTGTTATCTTCAAGGTGCTATTCATGTAAATAAATGTACTTAGGAAGAAATAGCATAAACACACAATCTAATCAATAATAGGCTACTAAACTTTATCTTAAACGTTCTTATGATATCAAGCCTGTTGATAAGAGAAATATGTAACTATTTGGAATATACTCTACTGATCCTTTTCTAAATTTAGTTTTTCACATTATGTACAGTTTTTTTAACCAAGTCCCTTATAGCATCACTTGAGTAGGTCAAACTAGGTGTCCATTTCTACTTTCAAGTGGTTTCACAGCCATCAAGAAACATTGCATCACACAAATCTGTCGGGTACATCATCACGTATTCTGTCTTCTCTATTGCTTAGTCTTAAATCGCATCAAAATTATCTGGGTAGACTCATTTCGGATAATGAACGTCAACAAACTGAAGAGTGAGGCTACTTTTTCGCAGTCATTTCGGTAACACATTCATTTGGTAATATTAAACTAATTTACTCATAACTGTTCTCTTAGTTAACATCGGATAGGTAGGAACACAAACTAAGCCTCCACAAGAGGTCTTTTTTGATTTTGTATGAAAGTTTGGGTATTTTCATAGTGCTTTGGTCCTAGAAAATCATAGCAATGTTAAATAACTTCATTATTTCATTGAAAAGTACCTTAAATTGGTTCTCATCAATCTACAAATTCAAAAAGCGATTGCGTTTACCAAGAATGTGTATGAATGAATGTACGAGTTACTATGATAATTCTAAGGTGAACATTATTTTTGTTGCCCTACTTTAGAATGTGTAATATTCGATTGGACACTAAACGTCCGATTGCCTATAAAAAAGAATACATATTGATATCACACATTTATGAGGAGACGACAATTTATTTCTTCACTTATAATAAAATTTGAAAACAACAACGTTTTATGTTCTTAACTATAGACTTCAATTTCAGGAATAATTTCTAGTAGAAAAACAGTAAACTATCCTTTTTCTAAAATAAGGGGAGTTCAATTTGTACAATTGATATTCAGTATATTTTATCTTTAATGTTATGCCAAGCAGTATGAATTGAACATTTTCAACAACATTTCGCCTTTTGTTATTTTATAATCTTAAAATGTTACTTTCTTAACTTATTGCACTGATCAAAAGACTGCACCTATGAAATATCGATAGGTGTCGAGGAATCAAGTAAAAATAAAATCCATTATACGAATACATCTTTTTGTTTTGTTATCAGAAATATCTCTTCTTAAAATCACTTGAGTTAAATTGTTTCGTTACTGCTTATTTACTTGGTTTTCATCGATAGGACATACGATTTCAACAAAGCAAGAACAAAAATCAAGGTAGGATGATATGAATTAGTGAATCTATATCATTCTACCAATGTGATTATTCTTGCTTTAACCAAATTTATAATGTGAGAAATCTCTCACATATTTCCATCTTAGGTGCTAGATAGAACAATGCAAAAGTTTTAGCTTGAGCTGTCTTATTTTCATATCTTTAATGGCTTATTATAAATATAACAGCCTTTAACAAACATCGCTTCAACTTAAAATCTCGAAGGATAAGGCTTTTGTCTGAAGCAAGATTTAATTTATATTCTAACCTCGTTGGTATACTGTAGGTACAACTCAATGCCCTTTTTCTTAAAGGCAGGATATTATATTTTAACTCGTTCATCATTGTTTTAAATTATCGTCTTCATCAAATATTAATTCCACAAAGTATACTCACGAGCACTATGTGTGTGCATTTAAAGACCATTTCAATTAATAACGAGTTTATCGGTCAACTTGGCCTGATTTCAATGAGTTAACTGGTCTACTGTAATTGAAATAGATAGTCACCAAACAACATGCTAACTTCGTAGTATTAATTGAAATATATACTAATTTTCAGATGTCTTATTATTTGTTTACTTACTGCCTTACTCCAGTTACCTCCAATGGAGCATAGGCCGCCGACCAGCATTCTCCAACCCACTCTGACCTAGGCTTCCCTTTCTTCCACCGGAATCTGGTTTGGTCTTTCCCACAGTAGGTTGTCGCTGATGGTATCCGGCCAACAAATCCGAAATGTTTTGCGTAGACAACTGTTAATGAATACTTTTATCCTCTAGATGATGGCTTTCATGATTCTCCAAGTTTCTGCCACATACAGTAGAACTTTGTTGACATTTGTATTGAAAACTAGGACTTGGGTGTTTGTCGACACTTGTTTTGAGTTCCAGATGTTGTTCAACTGTAGAAATGCAGCGCTTGCTTTGCCGATCCACTCCTTCACATGTGCATCAGAAGCACCCTACTCAACAATAATGCTGCTCTGATATGTGAAAGTGTTGACGTCCCCCAAGGCGTGTCCATCAAGAGTGATTTAGTTGGTGCATCCCGGCTCTCCACTGTATTCCGTGTTCCTCTCCAGGGTTAATCCAGTAGTCACCTGTAGAAAGAAAAAGGGTGAGTGTAAGCAACCCTGTCCGACACCGGTCTTCACCTCGAACGAGTCTGTCAGCTGTCCTCCGTGTACGATTTTGCAGTTTAATCTATCATGAGAATCCTATGTGGAGTTGATTATCTTCTCGGGCACGCCATAGTGTTGTCCTGTCCTCTCTATCAAATACTTTTTCATAGTCAATGAAGTTGATGTAGAGTGGTACGTTCTATTCAATTGACGTTTCCACAATTATCCGTAATGTTGCAATTTGGTCGGTACTTGTTCTTCATCCCAAATCTTGTTTAAGAGAATGTGAAATATTTTTGCAGTTGCTTTCACGTCTGCTTCCATTGCCTGTGCTTTGCCTCTCTTGATTTTTCTGATGGCCATTCTGATCTCCTACGTCGTTGGCCCGTCAACATTAATTATGTTATCCTTAGGTTCTGCTTGAATAATGGGTGGGTTCGATTCAAAATCTTCAAAGTGCTCTACTCAACTTTTATTTTATTTTTCAATGTTGGTTACTTCTTTGTCTTCCTTGCTTTTAACTGATGGTTCTGGTCTATGGTAGCTTCCAGTGAGCTTCTTTGTTATCTCATACAATTGTGTGATGTTTCCTTCTCTTGCAGCTTTTTCTGATATCATTCCCAGATCTTGCACATATTTACGTTTGTTAGCTTTGATTCTCCTCTTCACGTGCGTGTTTGCTTGTGTGTATTCAGCTTGTGCCTTGGCTTTCTCTGCTCTTGTTCGTCTGATGTTGATTTCTGCCTTCTTGTTCCTCGGTTTTTGAATTTTTCAAGAGTACTAACAGAGATCCATTCCTTGTGATGGTGCTTCTTGTGGCCCAGAACTTCCTGATATGTTGAAGTGATTGCCTCCTAGACTATCCTTGATCTTAGTATTTGAATAATGGTAATTGCAATTCTTGCAATCTGATTCCTTTAAACAATCACTCCTTCCCTCTATATCTTTTTTTATAAATCCTTCATCATGTAGATATGAATATGCATTCGAAATCCAATTGATATTACCAAGATTTCCGTTGGTAAATATTAATTAGATAAATCTTACTGACTCATATGAAAAACGTTTGTGTTTACGTCTGAATTATAAATTGATATGACTGATTTTATTACGTACTGACATGCATAAAGGTTGAATTAAGCTCATTTAATATGCAAAATTACTTCATATCATGCGCTTCTATGTCATGTATATGTGTCAGATACACTATGGTGATATTGATCGCATAAAAAAATAGTTAGCTTGTAAAGGACCATAAAATCTCATTGGAGATTTGACCTCCAATCTGTACAGAAAAGTTACTTGATTTGATTGTGCTTTTTGTTAGTTGTTATTATTTTTGAAGTGAATGCAACAAAAATGTCACATAAAATCACAATATTTTTTATGAAATATCTGTATATTTTGACGAGCTCGTAGATTAAAACACTTAAGTTGTAAAAATGAATTATTTTTGACTGCGAAGATGAATATGGTGTATTTGTTAAATGGAGCACAAATGTTATACATGAAAATAAACTTTACATGGTAGCATATTTTGAGTAAATAACTGTCTCAAAAATAATTAGAATAAATTAATTATGTTCACAAATTACTATTCGTATAATGACCAAAACATTAGGATAATAGGCCTGTGCAGATTGTTCACTTAGAAAATATTTTACATTATAAACTGGCTTTAGCCAAACAATCACTGAAAACTAATAATTGTTTCGATTTTATATGGA